GGGGATGGGGGAAGGAATTATTGGGCCTCCGGTAACCTCGGCTAACTCACACGGCGAAGCACCGTGGGATCACTCAATTCTTGCCAGAGCTTGGCACTCCCAGACTTAACTACTTACCTACACGTCAGTTATAAAGATAGTGTTTTTCGTAGGATGTATATAAAATTAAATATGTAAGATAAAAAAAAATGCCAAAAAAAGAGGCTGGACGTCACATTTAAGTTATAACAGAACTTTGTGTTATTATTTTTTCTAACTTATTTAAGATACCTTCATAGAGAAATGGAAACAGCAAACCGGACGCTAGTGGAAAGAGTGTAGAGATCAGTTCTTAAAGTTATGATCTACACAAAGAGGCTAATCTACTTAGTAACTATGCGAGGATGAGACCTCGCAGCAATGCTTGCAATTACCTCCACTCATAAACTAGTCATAAATCCGCCAAGTTTCAATGATATGCTAAAGCTTAGAGTCTTTAAAATCACTAGTACCAAATGTATAACTTCATTGAAAATCACAGAAGTTTATGTTTCCATTTACACATGCATACATGTACATAAGTGTGGGAGAGCCATGCTTCGGCACGAATTTTTTAGCTACAGCTTAGACCGGAGTTACACCACGGCCTCACAGAAAACCGGCGCGAAATAATCACAGCGTTGTGTTTCGCCGTGTGAATGAGGTTACCGGAGACACAATCCGCGCATTAAATTTTATCGATATCTGAGGAATTAAAAGCAGAATTTTGTTTGCTTCAAACGATACCTTGCTCAATGCTTAAAACAATACCTTGGTTAACAGGTATCATTTAAAAATAATTCTTGAAAATATTGCATCAATCAACATTACATAGCATAATGAAGATGCTACATTTTCACAAGCCGGAGCAACATTTAAAGTAATGACACAACAAAATGGTCATAAACTCGGTAACTGCATGTTATAAGATATTTATATTGCAAAGAGGCTAATTAAACCCTTTTACTGAGGTAATAAGACACATTTTACGAATACGAAGCCGATCCAGTAGATATTTTGTGTTGTGAAGAGTTTATTTTGTCATGAGAATTGATACAAAATGTTTTTAAAATTGAATTTTTGTCTAGAGATATGGCTAGAGCCTGTAAAGTAATGTGACGGAAAAGTGGTTCAAACTCTTTGACATCATGACGTCAGTGGATGGTTGTCAAACGTTGCCTAGAGATTGTAAATTTCGTCGTGAATTGTCAACACGAGTTGGTGTAATCGGTAAGGCGTGTGAATTACGCCACAGAGACCCCGAGTTCGAGTCCCGCCGTAAACATGAAGTTTTTTAGTTGATGGAAGTTTTGTCGAACTTTCTGGAATTATTTGTGTGAAAGAAATGAAAAATTAAAGAGCGAGAAGGAGAATAAATAAAAATGAATAACGAAATTATTGGAAGGTTCTGGAGGCATGACGATCAAAAAGAATAACGAAATTGAATGTTCCAGAACCTGACCGGGGGGTTTATAAGCGGAACTGCGGCTCACCGCTGGCAGTTGAGTTCTAAGTCCAAAGCGATTCGGAAGAAAAGGAAGAAGTGAAAAAGAAGAAAAGTGAGTGAAATAGTGAAGTGCAGTGAAATAGTGAAGTGCAGTGAGTTAAGTGAAAGTCAGCGTGAACTGTGAACGGCAAACGGAAGTTTGTGTCAGTCGCCCGGACTCTGCTGGAGAGGAACGCCGAAAACTTAACTCGGTGGACACTGTTATTTAAGTGCAATAGAAAGTCTGAAAACCGGTATTAGTGTTTAATTTTATCCAATCCCGTAACCCAAGCCCGCATAGTCAGGAACGTGACGTCAGGCACGTAACAGTAATAACAATAATCCCCTCTTCCTCAATCCTCAAATCTATACTAATATTATAAAGAGGTAAAATTTGTAAGTTTGTATGTTTGTATGTAGGGGTAATCTTTGGAACCGCGGGTCGTATTGTCAAAATTATTTCACTGATAGATAGCTACAAGGTTCCTGAGTGCTATAGGCTATATAACATCACGCTACGATTCAATGGAGCCGAACAGCGGGTGAAACCGCGCGAGAATAGCTAGTCTATAATAACCCAAAAGAGATCGGCAACGCACTGGTATTAACTACTTTGGTATTACGAGTATCCATGGGCAGCGCAATTGCTTACCATCAGGTAATCTTTCTGTTCGTTGACCGGCCTATGACACAAAGAAAACATTTTCAGACTTCGTATTTTTTTTTCTTTGACCACGTGTGTGATGCCGTGCTGTTATACTTACTTAGAAACAGTGAAAAAGAGTAAAGTGGCTTTCAAATTGGTAGGCGTAAATAACCCCTTAAAGCACACACTGAGAAATGCAAAAAGTTTTTCAGAAACTAGTCGGTCGGTCACACACACACACACACACCTTTGTACACCTTCATCGTGAAAACGTGTTGGATCATTAGGCCTTCATTCAAAGCTAAAGTTAAAGTGGACCTTAGGTTAAAACCTGTATGTGAATATACTAGTTTGAACCCCTTTATTTGCCTGCGTATTGTTGTTGATTAATTATGTAGTTCTTAGTCTATTTTTACCTGCCTACCTGTCCTGAGGAGAAAGGGAGGGCTTCTTTCCTATTTTAATAATGTGGTCACAGTGGAGAATTCCTTGAAACGTAGTGCTGGTTCGAGTTACTTAGGCAAAGGTTGATTGAGATTTTTGGCTTATAAATTTCATAAGTTTTGTCCAATGTGTCTGGAGTTCTCAAAATTGTCTTTGAAAACTCGTTTTTACAACTAAAACTAAGTTTACAACTCATTATCCTTAAATTTAAAAGAGCGATGCTTCGCCATAAATGCACGGCTCGACCGGAGTAATACCATGGCCTTACAGAAAACCGGCGTGAAACAACCGCAGCTTTGTGTATCGCCGTATGAATGAGCAAGCTAATCCCTAAATCTTCGATACCGTAAACCTCATACCTAAGGCCGGCAACGCATTCGTAACTCCTCTGCTGCTGCTATGTCCATGGGCGACTACATCAAAAGTTCTGTCCTCTAGTTTGCCGTACCGTTAGGTACATAAAAAAACTGAAATAAACAAAAACAATTTCTTCACAATTTTCTCCGCAATGAAAACGTTTTAATTATTTATCTTAGCAAAGTTGACGTTTCATTTTACCATCGTTTTCCTGGACATCGGAAATCAATTACATTCTTGTTTACATCAAAACTGGGACAAAGTATTCCATTCTAATAAAGTTATTTCCTTGTAAGACTGTGTTTCTCAAACTGTTACAAATCAACTCAGTCAATCGCGTAAATAAAATATGTAAGTCGTTATAATATTTTTCTTATTACTATTTCTTGTAGAGTCATGATATTTATTTTTAATACTTAATAAGTCAGCTTTTGGGTGCTAATACCTAATCATCATGTCCAAACAACCCTCAAATAGCTGGTGTTGCCATGTCAATGTTGTTGGGGAGGCTATGGGCAGCGTCGATTGCTTACCATTAGGTAACCCGTCTGCATGTTAAACACACTGTATCTATACCTACTTCTAAGTATACTAATATTATAAAGAGGTAAAATTTGTTAGTTGTTTGGGAAATGTATGTTAATATTTAGAACCGCTGCTCGGACTGCCAAAATTATTATAATGATACAATGTTATCGTGCTACAATGTTCCCGTGTGCTTTAGGCTATAAACCACCACGCTACGATCAAATGGAGCCGATCAGCGAGAGTAGCTAATTTATTAAAAAAATGTCTTTACTTCGTTTATCAAGTAGGCGTTTGCAGAAAGGATACAAGTTTTCTTCCTTCTTTACAAGAATCAGTACTTCGTAGAAAGACGAGACGGTTTACCAATCCCTCTCGCTTCGCACCATGATGGCCTCGAATAAGGCTGGACGAGAGAGGTCGCCGTCGCCGATCACTTCCCCGAGGACACGACGGTGCTGAGCCCAAGCACACTCTACCACCTCCCATATGCTCCTACAATGGTCTCTACTAATTCAAGCCGCCAGCGGTCGCCAAAAAAATGTGTTGTGTGATTTTTATTTTCTGGCAATTACGCTAGGAATCGGGCCCATCTAAGTTTAATTAAGTTTGAGAAACACATTGTAAAATAATTGACTTAAACATCCTTTTAGCTTGAAGGCATTTTTGATCTAATTACTTGAATATTGTTTCGGGGACCAGGTATTCATTTAAACTGATTAAAACATACGATAAACTTCATTTATTTAAATAAAATATGAAATGAATGTTCATCATTACATAATAATGCTTTATTAAGTATTGCAACAATTCAATACATTACTTTACTATTATTATTTATTAATATGAATTTACATTTTTAATACATATTTTGCGGGATTAAATGTGATAAGTGTAGGTATCTGAAATTGTAACACCCAGCCTATTTCAGATGCTGACACTTTAAAAGTTCAAGTCTATTTTATTAAAATTATATTTAATAAATTATTTTTTAATGAAATTTTGTCGCTTTAAATGTAACTTTTTATTGACTTTATACAATATTTCGATTCAGATTCTATTTAATTTTAAATGAATGTAATTTATACATTAAATTGAGATCAAATAACTAAGCGTATTATGCTTTAATATAATAATTATAGATTAATAAAATATGAATAAATGTTCAACTGTATTTTTCTTCTAAAATATGAATACTTACAATAAATATCTATTTTCATTTATTTTTAAAACATCAATGCACCACGTTTTTTTTTATTTAGCCTCATTATAAACATTTGCCCGTCAAATATCTTTGGGTATAGAAATTTTGCTGAAAATATATTAATAGAACAGTAGTTTGTTAAAACTGCAGACTTTCATAAATACAAGTAGTTTTAAAATTGACTATACATAGAGTTAAAAAACAGGCAAAACAGACGGCAGTTTGAAAGTAGAACTAAAACTTGTCACAAGATTACATTTACAACTTCATTTGAATAAATTAACTTAAACAATAGTTTTGTAAAACTGCTATCCATTGCCTGTTGGATTCACAATAAAATTCCCATGCAGCGGCTAACACAGTAATGTACACGTAACAAAGAAATTACAACTGGCAATCATGACACGCTTCCAAAGACCTCTTCCTTCTGCTGTCTTCGGACTCCTCAAATTCATTTTCATTCACTTCTTCGCTATCCCTGCCCAGCCTAATGAAATGGTCCCTCGCTCGGCTTTTCCTCTGAGGGTATCCGCTAACCATCAGCTCAGAATTCTGCTCATAAGTCTTATCATCTTCAGCTGAACGTCCTAGCCTGATGAAGTTGGGGTCCCTACCGAAACGGACGAAGCTGGCTGATTTCTTGGTCATAGGGACGTCATAGTCTTCGTCGTAGGCTCGTAGGAGGGTCACCAGGTCTTCGGTGGAGAGCGTGAGAGGTTGGGAGCGTCCGAATCGCAGAAAACTGTTACCTCTCCGAGTGGGGCGTTGGAATGCTTCTCTAAGGTCTGCTGCTGAAGGTTCTGGAGGATATGAGCGGCCGAATCTGTTGAGAAGGGAAAAGATGGAAAAGACTGTTAGAAACAAACACTTTTGTTAACTTGAGGTTAGTATCTTCTTTGGGACATTTACATAAAAGACCATTATTGTGATTGGAAGTTAAATATAGAACAAAATTTGTATATACGTATTCGTTTATAAACATTGATTTACATGAATTAGTGGACCACATAAAGGGTAATTCCTTAAGGGAAACGGACCCTGACACACTTCTTACAAAGATAAAAAATATAGTCTTTTCCACGAACCTTATCATACTCCGATCGATGGCACTTCTACGTCTGGCTTCGAGGTCTGGAGATCTTCTGACCGGTGTGGAAGTGGCTCCAGCAACCAGCCACAATGCTGCCAATAACGCCACGGTTCGGGAGTAACTCATGATGGGATGTGGGTTCTGGTGACAAGAGAAAAAAATATTTAAGATCCTAAGTGTGAGAGACCCAAGCTTCGGCACGAATGGGTCGGCTCGACCGGAGTGATACCACGGCCTTACAAAAAACCGACGTGAAACAACCACAGCGTTGTGTTTCGCCTTGTGAGTGAGGTTATAGGAGGATCCTTAAATATCCGAAACCTTTTTCCCGACTAGGTCGGCAACGCTCTCGCAACTTTGGTGTTGTAGGTGTCCATGGGCGGCGCCAATCCGACTGCTCGTCAGCCGACCCATGTCATAAAAAAAGTTCCAGAAACAAATTGATTCAAGAGAACGAGGATGGGGAGAATCTGGGGTCTCCAAAAACGGAAAAGTTTTGAATGTATTCATAAATTTGCCGTGATGTAATGGCAAAAGATTTATGTTGTGATTTATTTATGGTATTAGGCGGCAAACAAGCAGGCCACCTGATGGTAAGCAATGCCAGAGAAATTACAAGTGTGTTGCCAACCTTTCGAGGGTTTTTAGGTTTTAAAGTTCAATTCACGGGTCAGGTTAGGTGGGTGTTCCGTATTAATTTTTAAATCACGGAACAGTTGATGATTAACTAGTATCATCAAACATAAAATAATAGTGCAAAATAGGTCATGATTCTGACCTTTCTATTTATTAAGTTTTGTTATTTGAGGTAAGAATATCATTTAAAGACTTCTCCAGAACTGATCGAGGCGGGAGGGAGGGAGTGTCAGACTCTTACTGACTAAAAATCACCCCGTTCCTTCTTCTACTCCGAGTCAAGGCCTTAGTATGTACATCTTTGCGCTTGCAACCTGGTTGGAGCCTATTTATGTAAAAAACTAAATTATCTGTCATGTGTAGATAGTATTGTAATTAATTAAAATTTGACATCCTTAGCTAAATACATTACACGTGTATATTTGTTAGGCTTCCTATTGGTATTTATTATTACTTTTCTCAAACGTGTGATGAGACTCTTCAGAACGCCGATGTAAGTTAGGAAAATTCATTAAATAACTTTTTTCGTCTGGGGTATGCTGAGAGAAAGAGAGTCAGACTCTTACTGAATAAAAATCTCTTTTCCTGCTCTAGGCCGAGGCCACGAGGGTGCTTTATCCCATTTGACCCACAAGCCTGGCTAAACATCGGCCCTTATGGGCCCCATCTGTGGTGGTCAATAGGCTCTTTGAGGCACGCTTAAAAGCCATTAAGTTAAAACTAGTGTCATTTTCAATTAAGGAATCTTTGTTGACCGCGCTTGAGTTTTTTTTATTACAATTTTTCTAATTCGAAATATAAATTGCTATAGAACGAAAAAAAAAACAAATAGATACGTTCAAATTGAGAACGTTCTCTTTTTAAAGTTAAAATATTAAATAAATATTAGATGCACCTAACAAACTATAGTACACAGACGTCAGAAAATTATAATGAACGTGAATTTCCTAGTTTTCAGTTGGAAGTTGAGATAAATTTACCTGAAACGTCTGAAATACAGCGCCCCGAGCTACATGTGAAAGATTTAATGAATAAGACTGAAACTGTAATACTGACTGAAAAGTTTGTTAGAGTAGTGGATTTGATATACTGTTTTCTGTGTTAATTGTAGTTATTCTTGTAGAAGACAGAGGAGAATATAGAGTTATTAAAATTGTTTGTATAGCGCTTCTAATCCAAGGGGTAGAAAGGTAGATGAAGAAGGGAACTGGAGAGCGCGATAGGTATTCTTCGGTACAGGAGATGGCGCGACTAAAAACTATTTCGCTGTGAGAGTGAAGTTACCGAACATTTTTTATGTGATATGTCGGCAAACAAGCAGATAGATTACCTGATGGTAAGCAGGCAGCGGAGTAATTGGCAAACAGAAGAGTTACGAGTGCGTTGCCGACCTTTTGGGGATTTGGGATTTGGAGATTTAGGGATTGGGATAGCGGAGGGATTGGGCCCCTGGTAACCTCACTCACACGGCGAAACACAACGCTATGGTTGTTTCATGTCGGTTTTCTGTGAGGCCGTGGCATCACTCCGGTCGAGCCGACCCATTTGTGCCGAAGCATGGCTCTCCCATACTTAAAAACCCTTACGTTATATTGATGTTATACTTAAATATGTATGTGTGTGGGAGGTCAATTAAAGAAATCAATTAAAGGATGGAAATGAGCTTATGTTTATAAATCGAACTACATTCACAGAACTGAAGACTCTATAAGAATAAATTATTTGACTATTTCCTATTTAAGAAAATTGTTGCGTTACACTAGGAGTTTTTCCTGTCGTGGGCAGTCATAATTGCTCGGTGGCTGAGCAACTAGCTAGCGCGTAACGTGTTTCGGGTTCCATTCCCGCACGTAACAACTCTTTGTGTGATTTATAAATTGAGTTTTCTGGGTCGGGTCTTTTTTTTTGTCAGGGGAAAATCATCAACTGACTTCACCCGCCCAGGGTAAGGCGAGAGAGAGTGTAAGACTCTTACTGATTTAAAACCCCCCCGTTCCTTCGCCTTATATAGGCCAAGGCCGCGGTGCATCATTGCGCTTACCCCGCAACCCCGGCCTTACCGGGTTTGATTGTGATGTCAAATTGCATGTTTGGAAACACACCTGAGACACAGAAGAAAATCGACACAGGATTAGTGTGGCCCAATGTTCTTTTTTTACATTTGAAAAGATTCAATTGTTTTTAACCTACTTTGAGACGGTGACGAACTAGTTCACCATAATTCGATTTATTTTTAAAGTAGGTACAACCTAATCAAAACCTTAGCATCAAATTCATTGAAGCGAATATTGTAAGTAGCTTAGTTTGCGATAATCCACGTGTATGTATGTATGTAGCTCTGTCCTATATAACTATTATAATTAATTATATGGTCTAATAAGGACAGACGGGAAACAATACATGGCCCAGGTGTTTTGAAGTTACAGTGGAATAAAGAAAAATCATATACATACATGAACCCTAAATACATAACGCTCCTTTTTTGGGCAGTCGGGTAAAAACATGAATTTCAAACGTTATTGAAGATACTTACAGTGTCTTAGGTCAAGCGAGGAACATATAAAGGAGCCGATTTTGGTGCTCAATTCTATCAATTTTTGCCATGGAACTAATATCGAAATCTTTAAAATAAATTTAGTTCCCCATACAAATAGCAACAGCTGATTGATCATTTTGCATGAAGAAGTAAAAAAAAACTTCTGAGATTGATGTTTTGGAGATAGTATGGGAGAGCCATGCTTCGGCACGAATGTGTCGGCTCGACCAAAGTGATACCACGGCCTCACAGAAAATCTGCGTGAAACAACCATAGCGTTGTGTTTCGCCCTGTAATTGAGGTTCCCGGAGAAGACCCAGCCTTCAACTCCTCAATTCCTAAACCCCAAAAGGACGGTGACGCACTAGTAACCCCTGTTGTTACGGATGTTCATGGGCGGCGCTGATCGCTTACCATCACGTAATCCGTCAGCTCGTTTGCCGACATATCATAAAAAAAACATAATTATTTAGACGCGACAATTGTTTTATATTCTAAATGGCTAGTAGTATCTCCTTAATGGCCTAATGAGGCTGAAGTATCAGTAACTAAGATTAGCAGATGAGTTGCTGTAATAAGGTCCGTATCACTGCGCCACAAGGTCGCAATTCCAGACACCACGGCGCCATAGTGGGTGGACCGTCTGTCTCACAATGCAAGGACATAACAGAAGGCCAAATGCGAAAAATAGTTGGAAATATATAATTGATAGGTGTGGGAGTAAAAGCCATTTGGCAAAGCTTTGAGTATAGTTTCTAGTTTTCCACTGATTTATGCGAATTTTATCTGTGACGTATCGTTGTTAGGTAGTAGGTTGGGGGTCTTAACGTATGTTTACGATATTCTTATTCTCTGCGTGGTGTCTATTTTATTTATGTCTGTTCAGAATTCTGATTGTTTTGTGAAGTTTTTATGAACCAAATGGCCTTTAAGCGCTTGTATAGCTATAAAAAGAGTAATTTCTCTAATGTTTAAAAAACTACCCAGTTCTTTTATTAATCTTTACTTCTTAACATGATGTATGATAATACTTTTAGAGCTTACGAATCTGTAGGAACAAACTTGTTATACAGACAGAAAAAAATCTATCTGATAATAGATAACATTACTTATCTCTACCGAAATTAAAACAAAAACCTATTAAACAAGAAGTACATTTTTGCAGATGAAAAAAAATTGGAGCGGAGCGTAACGCAGCTTCTTGAAGTGTCACCCGGAAAACCAATTTATAAGACGTTGTCACGTCAAAAAATGAAGCACATAATATTCGTTTATTAGACACTGGACAAGTAGACATGTGCGTCCTGATGTCCATGTCAATAACTGAAATATAAATAAATATTAACTTATGTTTTTTTACCTATGGATCTCTAGTCTGAAATAAAAAAAATAATTTAATTTAATAAATCTGAGCTAAACCTTCTGCGCATCTATATTTATAGCGTCAAGAAAGTCTTTAAGTGAAAATGTTTATACGCAAAATGTCGGTGTTTTTGTCGGTTCGTTACATTGACCTACAGATGTTTTGGCATGAATAAGACGGACATAATTACAAGTATACCTATAATGTATGTATATATAAATGTTTTTCTTTGCGAAGCAAGAAACAGTGACTTGCGGTTTGTTACAATCAGAATATTTACTTATAAATATTATATCTGTCCACTTACGTGATTTTTTATGAGGGGAAAATCAAATGACTTCTCTCGTCTAAGGAATGGCGAGTAGGAGTATCAGGCTCTTAGTGACTCCAAACCCCCCAGTTCTTTCTCCGGCTCTAGGTCGAGGCCGCGGTACCTAAATACGCTTCAGGGCCCCGTCTGTGGTGGTCTATATGCTTTCCCTCTCTCCACAAATTGACATCAGACTAATGCAGATAAGGCCCACTAAGGTCGATAACCAGTTAGAGTTGCAGTTACGGTTAGGTTAGGTTCTAAAAATAACTCCCAGGGCGTCAGAAGACCATTGA